ATAAGTGTCTGACATTTTATGAAACAGAAGTGAGACAAGGGAAGTTAACAACTAGAAATAATTTATTGTTAATTTATTTTTTAAATTTTAAAAGATTTTATATACGTATCTTTAGAGAGAGGAGATAGGAGAGAGAGAGGTAGAGAAATACCTGTAAGTGGTTGCCTCTCAAGCGCCCCCTACTGGGGACCTGGCCTGCAACCCAGACATGTGCCCTAGACTGGGAATTGAACCAGCAGCCCTTTGATTCACAGGCTGGCACTCAATCCACTGAGCCATTCCAGCCAGGGCTATTGTTAATTTTTTAAAGTTTACATTTCTGATATATTATTGATGTTCCAATAAACACTTAAGAATGATATTTAATAACATAATTTAAATTCACCATCTTATTATCCTTGTTTAGCCATATGATTTTAATCACTCATGGGAAATAACTAAAATAGTTATATATCCCCATCTCTACTCTCTTTTTTATTAAAAGCTTCTTAGATTTTGTAACCATAATGTGACTGTTAGTAAACTATGCACAATTACAAATTTTAATATTATACATCATTGTTGGGAGCAAGCCAGGAGCAACTTGGGCACTCAGTAGAATGAAATTTTATTTATTTAGTTAGTTACTTATGTATTTAGTTAGTTAGTTAAATAATTTCATTTATTTATTTTTAGAGAGAGAGGAGGGGAGCCAGAAAGAAAAGGAAAGAAACATCAATTGTCTCTCTTGTGCCCCGTAATGGGGACCAGGCCTGCAACTCAGTCACGTGCCCTGACTAGGAATTGAACTGGTGACCCTTAGGTTCAAGGGCTGACACTCAGCCTACTGAGCCACCAGCCAGGGCTAGAATGGAATATTTAAATGTCTTTTTCTATGAATGTATTTACATTTATTCTGATGATAATTTGGTTTAGAAAATAGTATAAAGTATTTTCTAATATCATACTCCTCCACCTTAGAACCAGTGCTAAACATGAATATATTGTGAAATCCACATATCTCTTGAACAGGCATTGATTACATTTAGTACATACTTAGCACACGTGGTTTCTTTGTGCCAAGCCTTAGTTCTAAATGTTGGAGATACAAGAATAATAAAAACCAAATCCCTGGTTTTGTAAAGAAGGCATGGGAAGAATAGGCCAAATAACACACAAATAATACACAAAAGGAAAAAGGAAATAAATGCTACTAAAGAAATAGAACAAGGAAAGGTAATAGAAAAGATTGTCAGATTTTTCAGTTTTCAAAAGTAGTAAATAAAGTCCTTGAAAAAAGTGACAATTAAGTCAAGATCAAATGGAGGATATTGGCTAGTTTTGAGTAGTGAATCATATTATCTTAACAACAGGCTAGTTCTGTTGCGTATAAGGAATACATCAAAGGTACTAAGCACAGAAACAGAGAAAAATCTTAGGGCTCTGGCAGGGGATGTGGTTAAAATTTGTCATTCTCTATATGTATGTTAGGGCATCATTTGTGTTGTGAGATTAGATCTAGGGTTATGATGCCTCTACACATTTCATTTGAGCTATTTCAAGAATGTGATTTCACTTATTGACCTGAAAAATCTTGTGGAAAGATTTTTTTCTTTTTTTGTGGAAGATCAAGTGTTCAGTTTTAGATATACTAACCTTGAGATGCCTAGTGAACATTTAAATAGATAAGATGTAGATGATAGATAGATGATAGATGATAGATAGATAGATAGATGATAGATAGATAGATAATAGATGCATGCATGGATTCATAGATGAATGGCTTTACAATTTGGGGGGAGTACAAGTTGAAGTTACATGTTTGTGAATCATCAAAAGGCAGATGATATTTAAAACTATGGGACTCAATAAAGTAAATGACCTAATATGGGGAGAAGTTCTGATGACTGAGTTGGTGACATGCCACACCTACTAAGTTAGATAATGAAGCAGCAGCAAGAGAAAAGTGAGAAACCAATAAGGTAGGCTTAAAGAAAAATGTGTGTAGTATCATCCCAGAACTTAGAGAACAAAAGTGTTTTCAGAAGAATGTACTTAATAGTAGAGGATGTTTTAATATACTAAGATGAAGTATGAGAATTGATCTTTGGAATTAGCAAGGTATTTACCACCATGTCTGATAACCTCAGTATGTTCATCTTCTGGAAAGTAATGGAAGCAAATATCTGAATGGAGTGTGTTTAGAATGAAATAAGAAGCAACTGTGGGCAGATGAAATGAATTTGACACAAGTAATGAGAACAACAGGACAGATGCTGGAGAAGATATTTAAGGCAATAGAAACTCTTTTGTTTGGTGTGTGTGTGTGTGTGTGTGTGTGTGTGTGTGTGTGTGTAAGACAAGCATGATTTAATATATTTTCTTCAATCTCAGGAATTATCTCAATGGTTTTATCTCATGAATATCCTGAGTACTTAACTTTATCCATGCTGAAGTTAATGGATAAATGGAAGTTAATATAATACCTAGATGCAAACACAATTCCTACTAGAACTCATCATATATTACTAAGATTCATACATATGAATTGTACCGCTAAACATATCTAAATATTTATATCTAACCCAAGCATTTATAACAAATCATGGCAATGAATAATTATTAAGAAGTCAAACTGAAATTCTGTGCCAGTATCACAAGTTTCATCACTTGTTTTTTCTTAGATTTTTATACACATTAAATTTAGCTGTTTAAATGATCTTTAAAACTACAAAAATATTTATTTCTTATTCTGTTACAGGCACTATGCTAAGTCTGTTACATATCTTTCTCCTGCTCTTCACTCTATGCTTACAAAATAGATTATATTAACCTACATTCTAAATAAGTGGTATTGGGATCAGAAATTCAGTGAATTTCCTGAGCCTTGTTAATATGATTGGTAACAGAGATTCAGTTCAGATAAGATTAATTCCAAAGTACATGACCTTTAACTTTTTCAAATTTATTGGGCAGTACTTAGTGAAAGATAAGGAGTAAGTCATAACCAGCACTTCTTTTGTGTACTAGGTAGAGCTAAATGCAATGAAAGCCATTTAACATGCCTTACTGTTAATATAGTTATCAATTTGTTTAACAGAAACATAATCATGAATGGCAAACAAAATCAACCTTTCTCATGTTTATAAATTTGAACTGTTAGGAATCATGAAACAAGAAAAGAGTAAATTCTTTCTTTTTCTTTTAAATGTTTTGCCATCATTATGATACAACTTACCAAATCACAAAAGTAAAACAAGAAGCAACAAAATCCAGTTCTATTGACAAGTCAAAGATTTGGATGTAGAATGTAGCAGATCATATGGTGTTGATTGTCCAAAAAAAGTTGTTGAGGAATGCAAAATTAATCCTCGATCTAGTCTACATAGTTTCCCTAGAGGAGTGCTACTGGACATGCAAATACCAGGACTCTTACTCTCAAATATGAGATTTTTTTGGAAAAATCCTTGTTTCTAAGATTTTTGTATGCTTATTAACTTTTGCATAATTTAATTATTACTAGAATGTACACTGACATGTCAGAGTTTCAAATAACATCAATTACATGAAATATAAATGTTTGAGGAAAATAATTAGAAGCCCAGCTCATCCATTTCTCCTTATTTTAAGGTGAATTATTGTCAATGATTATCTACATATCAGAAAGGACACAATAACCAGTCTCACTTTAGGATCTTGGCCTTTATATATCCTTGACTAATTGAATATCCATTCCATTGATTGCCTGGTTTCCCTTAATTTAATTGTATTGTTTAAAAATTTTTGAATTTTCAATGGTGAGATATTATAAACATCAGCAACTTCTGAATGATTTTATTTGTCTTATTTATGTATGATATCAAAATATAAAAACTGTACTGAAATGTAAAAATACATTATACCATTTATGAAACTCATAACTTAAAATTATTTATACAAAGTACATACATATTTATTATTTAAATGTGACCCCAGTGGTATTATAAAAATATGATTTAGAGTTACACAGAAATAATTTTAAATCTTTTTTCTATTTACATCCTGTAGGAAATTATAAAAGAATTTTATTTTTCATTTCCATCTCTAAATAAAAGTTAATATTACCCAACTAATAGACTGGCAGTAATGTTATAGTTACTAAATAAGAAAGTATGTAACATCTTCTTGACAATTACAACAGAAAACAGGTCCTTCTCTTGCCTTCTTATCTAGAAACAAGGCTAAAACAGTTAAAGTGAATCAGGGATTCAATGCTATTTTTAGAACAATAGCAAAAATCTTAACATGACAATAAAGAAAAACAAATGAAGATATATTTTATTTAAAATATCAATCTTTCTCATAATAAACTAAATATTAGCATCTTTTCAGTTTTGAAAAGTTAAAAGTATTTTGAAATATTGTACTATGTATATCTGCAATGTACACTGATTATGTGAGCTTGGAAGTATGTATTTTTATCTTAGTGAAACATCTGTGATATGAGCATATGTGGGTGATACTGAGCAATACATTCTCTTTAACCACTTGAAACTTGTGGTTTTAAAATAAGTAAACCTTTCAGAAAAAGTGAGATTTTCATTTTGTAAGACATAACTCAAACAATTCTGAATAACTTTTAATGATGAGATTGCATCATATATGTTAAATATAATTTTAGTGACTTCAGTGGTTTTTGCTTGTTATTTTCTACAAATACTATTATAACCCTAGGAAAATCTTTAATAAATATTACATGCATGAAAACAACAAACTAGCAGCATTTTTTTCATGTACATGAGAAGGTAAGCACTGAAAATTTTGCCTTTCAATAACAGTTAATGTTAGCAGGAAAACCAGAACCTAATAATTATTTCTTACCATTAAATTGATTGTGAAAGCTGCAGTTAGTATCTCCTACTGAAACAATTTATGAAGTATCTATCCTGCTTATAAAAAAAGTAACACTAAAAAGTAAGCATTTAATCGAGAGATTCAAAATCATGGGGGCAGATAAAAGAAATTTAAATAAATAAACTCACCTTATCCACAATACATATCTGCTTTCTTGTTTGAGCATCAAGTATTTCAATCTCAAAGTGAGTTGTTTTTGATTTTTTAACTGCTGGAGTTGATTTTAGAGGACCTGCTGAAAGTACCAGTTGTGAAAAAGACTGAAAATTTCTCATATCATTCTTCTGTATAGACCGTGTACCTCCTTGAGAAAAAACTTCTCTTTTGCGTTCTGAAGCAAGAGACTTTTGCTTTTTGAACATGGTATGAACAACCAGGAGAATCTGTCATGTCAACAGAAGATACTTTGCAAGTGTGTTTCCTTTGCACCAGTTAAATACTGCTGTGAAACACAAAAGGTCAAGTGCATGCCATTCCAATAGTTCAGTTTTATTTAGCAAGACTGAAAACAATGACTGATTTTATTGCTATATATAACACCCCATTGTGAATTGCTGCAATGCAGAGGATCACTTTACCAGCATTCAAATTATTCCTTGCATTCTCCTTTCATCTCTGCTTCTTAATATGACCAACTGGTATCTCAAATTCCAAAGCAAGAAAGGAATAGACAGATTTTTCTCTTATCTTTGGATTCTGGATGCACTAATGTTCAAACACATATTATCATGCACTCATTCATATTTAAAATTATTTAAAATTAGCTTCATGTTATCTTGTAGTCAAATTTACACACACATAGTACATTATTATGTAACAAATTTTTATAGATGTTGTCTAAGAAAGACTTTGGCAAGGTTTTAACATCTATTTGATACAAAATGCATAAATTCTTCACTCCATGCAGGGATGAGAAAGATGACAAGTTGTCTCTAAGACTGGAATATGTACACAGTAATTTTATAACTTAAGGAAAAGGAAGCAAGCCTTACTTTAATATTTGCACACATTTTGTGTTACTGGAAAATCATTAAACTTATCTGTAAGGTCAGTACTAAATATTATATGTACCACAATACTAAGTTATAAAAAATTTAAATTGTCTCAGAATAAACAATAAAAAATAATGAACAACCCAGTACAACAGTATTGTGAAAAAGACTCTAGTACACTGAGACCTGAAAATCTGGCAAACAGACAACTGAAAAAAATCCAAAATGTATTGTCACCTATTCAAGGGATATTATAGAAAATATTCCAGATGTTATTTTGAATGAAAACCTCAAAAGACAAACGGCTAAAATTATAGAAGCCAAAAGCTGTATATCCAGATGAGGATAATATTTACTTTTATAATTAAATAAAATATGTATTATTTATTTTTAGATTTTACTACACATTATGCACTGGAAATTCACTTGCACATTGTTTAGTTGTCTTTTTCATACCCTAGCTCAACATTATACTCAATTTTTAAAATGATATTATGTATTTATTTTTAGAGAGAGGGGGAGGGAGAGGGGTAGAGAAACATTAATATGCAAAAGAAACATTGATCAGCTGCCTCTCTCTTAGGTCCCCAACCAGAGACCTGGCCCACAACCCAGGCATGTGCCCTCACTGGGATCAAACCGGTGACCTTTCATTTTGCAGGATGATGCCCAACGCTCTGAGCCATGCTATTCAGGACTACACTCAATATTAAATATATTTTTTAAAGATTTTATTTATTTAGACCTGGCTGGCATAGCTCAGTGGATTGAGTGTGGGCTGCGAACCAGTGTCGCAGGTTCGATTTCCAGCCAGGGTACATGCCTGAGTTGTAGGCCACGGCCCCCAGCAACGGCACATTGATGTTTCTCTCACTCTCTCTATCTCCCTCCCTTCCCTCTCTAAAAATAAATAAAAATAAAATCTTAAAAAAAAAGATTTTATTTTTAGAGAGAGGGGAAGGGAAAGAAAGATGGAGAGAAACATCAATGTGTGGCTGCCTCTTGCATGCCCTCAAACAGGGACTTGGCCTACAACCTAGGCATGTATCCTGACAGGGAATCAAACTAGTGACCCTTTGGTTTTCAGGCCAGCACTCAATCCACTGAGCCTCACCAGCCATGGCAATATTAAATATATTTTTTAAAACACATAATATAGGTATATGTGTGTTCAGGTATTTATGAATATAGATATACCTTGTGCAATTTTATTACCCCAATTGTCCAAGACTCCAAACTTGGTATCATTCTTACCATCTCTCTTTCTCCCACACCTCAGATCTAATTTATGGGAAATCCAGAACACAATCTTCTCACCATCCCCACAGCTACCTTCAAAGCACCATTCTCACTTGTAATTGCTCTTTGAAACTTGTCTTCCTACATCAGCATTGGCCCACCTATAGTGTGTATTTTAACACAGCATCTAAAGTGACCAGTGCCTACATAAAAAAAATAATCCAGAGAAATGCAAATTAAAACCACAATGATATACCATTTCACAGCTGTCAGAATGGCTATCATCAATAAATCAACAAGCAACAAGTGCTGGTCAGGATGTGGAGAAAAGGGAAACCCTTTTGATATTGTTGGGAATGCAGATTGGTGCAGCCACTGTGGAAAGCACTAGGGAGATACCTCAGAAAGTAAAAATGGATCTGCCTTTGGGTCCAGCAATCCCACTTCTGGGAATACATCCACGGGAACCTAAAACACTAATTCAAAAGAACATAAGCAACCCTGTGTTCATTGCAACATTATTTACAATTGCCAAGACATGGAAGCAGTCCAAGTGTCCATCAGTAGATGAGTGGATAAAAAAACTGTGGGACATTTACATAATGGAATACAACTATGCCATTAAAAAGAAAAAATGAAAAGTTTACCCTTTGGACAGTATGGATGGACCTGGACAATATTATGTCAAGTGAAATAAGCCTGAGAAAAAACAAATACCATATGAGTTTACTCACATGAGGAATCTAATGAACAATCTGAACTAATAAGGAAAATGGGGACAGACTCACAGATGGAGAGCAGGCTGACAGCTCTGAGTAGAGGGAGGTTAGAAAGTGGAGGGATTGAGCAAAAAAGAAAAAGGCTAATGGACATGGACAACAGTGAGGTGATTATGTGGGAGAGGGAGGGTATAAGGGTACTAAATGGTAATAGAAAAATACAATAAAAATTTAAAAAACAATAATCTAATGATCTTCTCAACACACTGTGGGGGATTTCTATCTTGTGTAAGGAAAAGCCCAGTTTCTTTTCAAAGGTCCACAAGGATCTGCTTCATCACTTAAACTATGTGTAGTGCCTACAATAGTGTCCAGCACACAGTAGGTGCACAATAAATATGTACTAAATAAATAATTTGTAAATGTACACTGAGGGTGTAGAAAGAATGGTGCGATAGTAATTGAATGGCTAGGGTAAATTACTATTATATTACAATAACATGACATAACTCTGTATAATATAATGTATCTTCACATATAGTTTCTATTTAAAAAGGGGATTGTCAAAAGGACACAGGAGCCAAACAAAAAGATCTCTCATTATCAAAGCTGGGAATAATTCAAGAAAGAAAATAAATACTAATGATAATGGATTCTAATTCAAAGAAAAATATAAACTCAAAGAATTCCAGTTCATACTGTTATTAATAAATTAATAAATAAATAAGGCTGAGGAATAAAATCTTTTTAAACAAAACTTTCAAATTTACACACACACACACACACACACGTTTATACACACATACACACATACCCTCCTCTTGAGTGTAGGTTTGACTTAATGAATGACACACTTATAAAAAGTAGTGAATGGAAAGAGAATAGAAACTTTACAGTAGGGAAAACCAGCAGGGATGCAACACTTTAACCAAGAGGCCAACTCCAACATCACCGTGAAAAGTCATGCTGATATCATGGATCCACTGATAGCATCAGATGAGGACATGTCACCTCTGCAGTGTTCATCTAAAAGTTCATTACCTCAGCCTAACCATGAGAAAACATCAGACAAACACAAACTGAGGGTAATTCTAAAAAATACTTTTCAAGACTGTAAAGAGTAGAGTATAAAAAAGAAGAAATATTCAGGGGATGTGACAGACAGAAAATTGCTCATAGAGACACAAAGAAAATGCAATATGGTATTCTGATTTTTTCATGGGAATCAGAAAGGGCACTCAATAATTAGATAAATGAATAATTATGATAAAATTACTATAAAATTCACATTGTACCAACTACTTTATACAAAGGATTATAAAAAATGCCATAAAAATAAAAATTATTTTCTTCTAATTTTATAGTTATTTCTTATGACTCATCTTTTGTCTGTAAACTTTGGTAAATCTGCAGAATGACTTTGTAATCACCCTAAAATTTGGTTATAACTATCACATGGGTCATCTTATAAGTGATGTATATTAATATTATTATTTAACTCTTGGTTGATATAATTTAATATATTTCTATAAATATTTATGCTTCCATTAATATTATTTAACTCTATTCAAGTTTATTCCCCCAAAACGTATTATGCTTATAAGATTTTTATTATTAAATCTTATTGTTATACCTCTTGACTTCAAAATCACTGAAGTGAAATAAGTCACTGAAAATTAAATTAAAACTTTGAAGGATAAATGCTAATGAAAAAGAAAAATGTACAAGCATATATATGGATATGTAAAATATTCACATATATCAAACAGAAAAATTATTTCTTATAAAAAGTTAGCAAAAATTCTTATGTTATAAAATAACTTCTCTTCACTCCAATATGCATAGGTAAGACATTTGTTTGTTTGGAAGCGCTAATCCTTACAATTCACACTTGGTTCCCTGCACATCTATTTCATCTGTTTTTCTCTGAACATATGTCAGTATCTGAGACTTTCTCACTTTTTGTTCTTCCAACACTTTTACCCTACTCCTCTGCTTTGTGCCTATGTATTCCTGCCTCTTTGTACTCATATTGTAAGGCTGACCATTCTTCCATCTAAGGCCAAAAACCAGTTGTACACTGAATCTCATGTCTTGTAGCAGCTGAAAACATTGTTAGAGCATTTAACCCCTTCTTTACTGTATTATAATTCAATTTATTTTAATCAGTCTTTAAGATCAAATTATGGATGGCATAATACCATTTATGTTAAAAACATATCTTCATCCCATATCTATTTTTAGCTAGCTACTCCTTATTTCTTTTTTTAATACATAAATTCTTGAAAATTGTATCTGAGACCCTTGTCCCATTTCCTTTACACATATTCCTTTTTGGCCCCATTTTAACATCTCTTACTCATACCCACTTGTTCTTAACGAGACCATCGTCAATGCCCATTTCTGCAAATCAAATCTTCAAGCCTCAGTCTTCAGTTTTTAAATCAATCTGCAGTTTTAAACCTATTAAGTCACACTCACCAAAACAT